CCTTATTTCTTAATCAGGCTCCCAGTGGAAACCCAAATTAGGACGAGGTTCCAGTTCTTCCTTTAAGTAGCTATACACCAGGGGTATAGGAAGGGGAGCGCCTATACCCTGTCCTTTTACACTGTAGTATATAACACAGTGCTCTAACCTAGGCAAAGACCCGGCTAGGTATATAAGATTTCCTTCCCAAATTGGGGAACCAAAACAAAACAACAACAAAACACCTTTCTTCATTCTAGAGTCCCACCTAGCCTCTTGCTCTCTTTCCTTTCTAATCAGCCTTCTTCAATAAGCACTCGAGGCAGAACGTCTCGTCTTTCGCACCTTCTCTCTTTGATCTGCTATAGTCCTTCCTTGATCCTCACCATCCAAGAGAAGCTGCATATGTTTTAATATTTACTCTAACTCCTAAAATATCATTTGAACACAGCACACTGATGTTTAAAAAAAAAGAAGTGTGTAAAAACTACTGATATAAAGAATTGGGATATCAGGTTGGAAAAATTGACTAGAGATCTCATTACACAAGGCCCTGAGTGCCAACTAAGGGGATAGGGAAGATCACCCAAGTGTAAGTCTAAGGACCCAAGTTTGTCCAGCTATATCCATTAACTTTGTGCCCATGGGCAAGTGACACAGCTTTGCAGATTCTCAGTTTCTGGTAAAATGGGATCCTAAGAAGTAACACAAGTTACTGAAGTCTAATGACTGTTCTTCAATCTTTATTCTTTTTGCTGGCTCTCTGGCTCCTTCTGCCCTCCCCAGCTCTTGTGGGTCTCCTCACACTTTATTGACTCTTCTTCTGTCTCCTTTATCAGCTCTTCTTCCTCCTCTCACCTTGCCTCAGCTCTCAGCTCTCTGCACCTCTCCTCACTGTCTGGCAGACCCCACTTCTCCTCCTCCTGTCCCCTCTACATGAAGACGACCAGGTCTGTACTTCAGCCCACCAACCGTCTTCACTTGGATGTCCCATTGTCCCCTACAGCTCAACGTGTCAGTAATGAAACCCTTTCAAAAACACTACCCCCTCCTGCCAGTCCTATCCAGAACATTCTTTCCACTTCCTGTGAATAAACTCTCTGAGCCTTCTTTGATTAAATGAGACCATGAATATGAAAAGCATTTCATAGCTAAAAATGGGATTAAATATTTCTCATATTCTCTTCTGTTTCTGGTCATCACCCTTTCAAGTTCGTCTCCAAGTTCTGTTTATGTGCCTTTATCACTTCACACCTAGACCAATATCCTGGCTTCCAAGCTAATTACCCCTGTTCCGCCTTTCATCTTTCCAGCCCATTTCCCAATTCCAAATTAATCTTCCTAAACTACTCCGAAACACCAATCCCTTGGAGTAACACCTTTCATGGTTCTCATTTTCTATCTGATAAATGATAAAATGCATTTTACTTTTTCCTTCATCTAAATCTTCCATATTAAAACTAAGAAGAACTGCTGACATCATATAGCACTTTAGAATTTACAAAAAATTTTTCACGTATTCACCTTATTTAGTCCTAGGAAATTTATCATGAGGCAACAATTCTTATGATCCTTATTTTACTAGAAACAGAATCAACAAAATCATGCCGCTTGTCCATGGTCACAGCGCTAATGGACATAGCTGGACAAAGCCAGTCCTCAGACTCTCATCCCTTAGCTGGCACCCAAGGTCTTATGTATGGGACCCCCTAGTCCAATTTTCAACCTCCCGTTTCATTGTATTAATGGTTTTCGCCTACTTTTTTTTTTTTTAAGACATCAGGGCACTTTGTTCAAATGGTATTTTAGGAGTTGGTATACACATGAAAATGTTTCTGCTCCTGGTGAAGATAGGCACGGAGGATCAGGAACCGAGACACCCTCACCCCTGTCCCAGCTCCTGAGGTGTCTCTGAGGTGCAAGTTTCGACAACCTCTGTTCTACAGGAAAAAACCCCTGAGGTTGAACCTGAGGTTGAAAGTAGGTTTACTGGGCGTCCATCCACTTTGTGTCTTGCACTGCTCCACCTGTTCGAGATGTCCTCATTTCTATTCTCCACCATCTCAAGTTCCTATGTCCTTCAAGGCCACCTCCTACGTGGAGCCTCCCAGGTCCCTGTGGTCTACAGTGGCATCATGCTTCTCTGAAATCACAGCTCTGTTGTTTCCATCACATAGTTGTCAATTAGATTTTCACTGCCTAAATATTATATTATATTCAAAATCTTATTTAGGTTATATATTGCTATTTAACTTAAAAATATGACTAAGATGCACTCTCCATGTGAGCAAGGGCAATGTTTAATCCTCTTTGGGTCTCTTCAGTGCATGCACTCATTGATTTCTTGATTCATTGATTGTTATTAGGGATATAAGCTCTGGGTTTATTACAGAATAAACTGCAATTTAAAGGCAAAGCAACACAGACCTTTCCCATCCAACAAGTGACACTGAGCCACCAGTGTAAGATTCAGATTTTCACCTTTAAAGTGAGAATAATAACACATAAGTCATAGAGTTGTGAAGATAAAATGCAATCATTTATCGAAAGCACTTAGCCCACTTCCTGATTCAGAGTAAGCAAGCAGCTGATGAAACCAGCTATTATTTCTGTTATTAATGTTGTATGAACATATTAATTCCTGCTAAACCTGAACAGTATGAACAACAATACTTTTCAAACTGCAGGTTAGATTCAGGTAGCATGTTGTGATACAAATTTAGTCTAGTGGACTTAATATATTTTTAAAGGAATAAAAAGTAGAGTCTCTCACACATAGTAAAAGTAAGTAGTAGTTCATCTGAAACTTTACTTCAGATGCACATGTGTACATACACATAGTAATATATATTGGATGATGTCAAACGTCAAAAAGTTGAAATCAAATCACTGACCTAGAAGATACCTGTGGTGGAAAAAATGTATGAGAGCCCAGGCTGTGCAGATACCTGCACTCAAGCTTCAGAACTGTATTATATCTTACGTTGGATCCTGTCACACCAGAAAGGTAAGAATCCCCTGCACGCTCACCTGCCAATTTCCAGGGATGACTTTTACAATGTAGCAAGAATCGCCAAGGTGCAAAAGTCAGGGACCTGATTTCTCTCCAGAGTTTGAAAAAGGCAGTCTTGCAATGAGAACTCTGAGAGGAAGATGGTAAAAAACCAGGATCCTTTTAACGTCAGGAAGGGGAGGAAGAGACCAGTCAGTTCAGAGAACTGACATTGCAATACAAAATAAGAACCAAAAAATAGCTTGAAGGACTCATCAGAATTGCCCACAAGAATCCCATCGAGTTGTAGATTCATAGATCAGGATTCCCAAGTTTTGCTGGGCATGGGAATCACCAAAGGATCCTTTTTGGAATGCCAGTTTTCAGGTTCCACTTCTGCCTACTGACTCCTTGGCTACCTCATTACCTGGTCCACATGTGTTCCCGGAATGCCAACACCAGCTGTATTTCACATCACTAAACAAAGTACACAGTCTTGGGAGTGACAGATAAAGGCAAATGAATGGAAAGCTGCAATACCTTACACCAACTCTTACAGCATTTCAGCTCTCAGTAAGATAGTTGGGTACAGACAAGGAATAGAGTGTGGAAGAGCAGGGGGTCCAGGTGCCCATTAGCATTTGTGATAAGCAGAAAGAAATCGAAGTCGTGAGTGGCACTAGCCTTTGTGAAGCAGCATTGGTCAGGTACCATCACAGGTGTGTGATCTTCTGAGACACAGTGCTTATTTTTCTTTCCAACCTTTGAGTAGTCATTGCCCAAGTCAAAAATTTGGCTATAGATGTAGAAGATCCTGAGATTTGTCATTGGAGAGAAATGATCCCCAACTATTTTGGCATTCTTCCTGGTACAATTGTGAAATAAACTCACTCTCAAATCCCCCTTGCTGAACATTCCATATCTACTTCTTCTCAAAGTGTAAGTGAAGTAAAATTAGTCATGAAGAATTAGTGTGTGTTTTGTGTAAGACACGACTCAAGATAACAGGGGACATGCTGGTGGATCCCAAGCTGGGACTGTCACTCTTCTTTTGTGGTGGAGGAATCCAGATTTGCTATAACCCTGGGAGCAATAAATGCAGACTGCCTCAAGGTAGTGTCTTACAGGCAGTACCATGGAGTAGCAATTGGGACTGAGGGCTTGTCATAATGGAAGAATTGGTCTGTGTGTGTGTTCTACAAGATCCTCTCCCAGGCTTGGAAAATAAAAGGGATATTCCCCAACCAATTTTTAAAATTTTATTCTCTCTTGCATCTGGATAATTGCAAAATTGACACCCTTCAGTTCCCATTGGGTGACTATGCAAGGGGATCTCATGTCACATCAAAGAGGATTTAGTCAAGAATGTAGACGGGTCAACACGCTCTGAAGAACTGGAACTGCGAACAAGAAGGAAAATATGCCAGCTTTTCAGTTTCCTAGTCCGATATTTCGGGGCTCTATAGCCATATATTTCAATTAGTTTGGGATTCAATGGTCAATGAAGAGAGGGGTAGAAAATTACCTACCTTCCTGATGAAATATTCTTGAAAATAAATAAACAATTATTACTGAGTCCCTGCTCTGATGAGTCCTTCACTTTTCTAGCCAGTGAGGATACAGTCAGGTAGGAGGAGGCAAGCTCCCCCATCTCGTGGAGTTTCTGGTGTAGAGAGAATGCCTATGTGCCCTTCTCTCAGTTAACATGCTATTCGGGAGTGCCATCTTACACCAGTTCCTGCTAAAGGTACAGGGAAGCGGACACAGCGGTAAGCAGGCTAGGGGTCACCCCTGTTCTCTTGGAGGCTGAATAATCAATGCCAAAAGAGCATCCATTCATTCAACAAATATCTATTACTAAACTACTATTTTTCAGATACTGCATTAGATGTGGAATGAATATAGATATATAGATATAAATACATCTAGATATAGATATATCTATTTTATCTATAAAATATATTTTATATTTGTAGAATATAGATATAAAGATGAAAAAGATACTACCTTCTAAGAACAGGGAGTCCAAGACAGAAGACAGACATACAGATAAATCTAAATTAGTAAATCAAAGGCTTTAGTGGAGTGGACACAGATAGAGGCAGGACCACAGAGAGGGCAGGATGAGGAGTTTCCCGGAAGAGACCCTTGAGCTGGGCCACAGCCATTAGAAACATTTCAGGTGAGCCAGTGTGAGAAGGTGTAAGGTGGGAATGCTTCTGCCCTTCTCCTGCTGTTTCCATCCAGATGGAGGTGTGACATTCTTGGCCTCTGGGTACCTCCTAAACCCTTTCCCTAGGGAAGGAATGCCTTCATCTGATTGGAAGATATTGGAAAAGACATTGGGAATGCTTGGCTCAGCTCCTCTTTTCCAGCCAGACTGCTCTTGAGTGTGCCCAAGAGTTCCAAGTTAAGGAACTGCAGGGGGCCTGCAGCGGTCCCAGGTCTTCTGTGGTTATTGGGAACAGTCTGTTCATTTCTGGGGTTGAGTTAGCAAGCTCATTTAGCCCGCACTCTAAGCAACATTCTCTGACCTTAACTTTATCAATTATAAAGCTGATCTTTCACTTCTATCTGCCTTATTTATTATCTTATTAAGAAATTGGATTTAAAGGGGAAAGGGAGATTACTTCTTGGGAACCCCCCCAAGACTCTAACAGAAGGGAGTTTCAGGCAGAAACACTCATCTAGAGAGGAGAAGGTACAAATCACTTTCAGAATTACAAGTTCAGTTTGGAGTAAGGAGGGATTTGCCTCAAGTGAGCCTGCATTAGTTAGCCAAGGCCACACCAAGGAAAGCCTTGTGGGACTGGAGGGGAGTCTGCTAAAGGATCTTACACAGAGGAATACATCAGCAGATCTGCATTTTAGAAGTATTTCTGTCATGGCAAAGTGAGAAGTGCACCCGGAACCTGGGGAGCTGATCAAGAAATAGCTCCAGTGAAAGATGACGTGGGATAGAAAGCAGGGGAGAGGCCCAAGAGATGACGAATAGAGAGAAATCATAGTGCATACTGATGGATCTGGAAACTGAGGAAGAAAGGAGAGGCTGAAGAACAGTTATACGTCTGCAGCTTGGATCAGGGAGACTGGGGATGGGGAAGTTATGATGCCCTCAGTTTTTAAGCTTCTTGTGGACAGTCATAGGCGAGTTATGTAGTAGGTGGTCCAATGGCATCGCTCTAAGTCTGGAGCTCAAAAGAGAGGTCTGAGCTGTACTTGTAGACTTGGGGCATAGATGGGCTCAAACTCAGAGTGTGGGGCATGAAAAAAAAGAGGAGTAAGGCCAGGGTGCTAATAATTAGGGTTTCTCTGACTATAGCTCCTTTCAGGGTTAAATTAGAGGAAAGTTCTCTGTTTGTATTTAGAGTTATTATCCCAGATTCCTCTCAGAATTACTGCAGGAGCTGTACCATAGCTGTACCAAACTAGGCCTTTGATTTCTGGATAGGATTGTTAAGGACCTTGCAGACAAATTAAAATATGGTTGCTAATTGCAAGATTTTGGGATAATATTGTTGTAAAGTTTGTAAAAGTTCTTCGTTGTAAAGTTTCGTGTCACAAAATCAGATACAGCGACAAGAAAAGGCCAAAACTGACCACTCTACTCCTTCCCGTCACTTAAGCTAAACAATCAATTTGGGAAGTGACCGGAGTGATTTTTTTAACCTCTCTAATCATCAACATCCTTCTTTGCGATTGTGAGATCCATGACAATTAGCTGATAGCATTTAGGGGAAGATTAAATTAGATATTGTACGTAAATCAGTCAACGTGTCTGACACATAGTGAGTGCTGGGCACTTGATGATTATCATTATTATTGGTGAAGGAGTTGAACATTTTTGGTGATACAATTCCAATTAATCACATGCAGATTACCCATAACAATATTTTTTTATTAAAAAGCTAGTTTTCTCTTTTCCATCTCCTCCTTTCATTGCCAGCCTTTGTTTATTCAGGACAGGCCAACTAATTTTAATATTATCTGATATCAAATATAATTAGGAAAAGATCTGTAGCCAAAAAATACAATATATTTTAAAGTCCATATATAAACACATTACAGTCGGCCCTCCCTATCTGCAGGTTCTGCATCCACAGATTCACCCAATGGAGGATCAAAAGCCCTACGATGGTTGCGTCTGTACTGATCATGTACAGACTTTTTGTTCTTGCCATTATTCCCTAAACAATACAGTGTAACAACTATTTACATAGCATTTACATTGTATTGGGTATTATAAGTAATCCAGAGATGATTTAAAGTATATGGGAGGATGTGCATAGGTTATATGCAATATGATGCAATTTTATCAAGGGACTTGAGTATCCTCGGATTTCGGTATCTGCGAGGGTCCTAGAACCAATCCCCAGCGGATATCGAGGGACGACTGCATATTATCTGTGAGTGTAGATTTTTCATACCACTATTCCCTATTGTCAGAAGTCCCCTTTGACATGAAGCCTAAGAAGTTGGGGGAAATATGCCATCCGATTTAGCTGCAACCGACACCCCAACCAAAAATAATAGAGATGAGGCTAATTTCTGTGGAAGAGAAAGGAAAAAAATATTTATTGAAACTATTACATGCCTAGCACTATGTTATACTTCTTCACATCTCATCTCATGTATGCCTCCCAGCAGTGCAAGGAGTTGGGGTTGGTATGAAAATTCCATTTTACAGACAAGATTGAGGTTCAGAGCAGTGAGACCACTTGTTCAAGCTCATTTACCGACCAAGAGCAATAGATGGTTGATCTGGGTTTCAGCCCAGATCGGATCGACCTGAAACCTCACAGTCTCCCCATGAACCTCGTCCTCCCTGGGAGAATTATGGTAGCTCACATTTAATGAGGCTTCTTCGAGACAGGTCTCATCCAAGTGCTTCACGTGTACTTTCTCATTTAATCATCCCAACCACCTGTGGGGTACTTACTATTATTAGCCCCCTCAGGAAACTGAGGCGCAGGAATTAGCCCAGGGTCCTACAGTTGATAAGCAGTGGGATGAAAATTCCATTCGAGGGAGTCTTCCCCCAGAACCCACACTCTCCACCACCAAACTCAAAGCCTCGCTTAAGAAAATCAACGACAATTTTCAAAGTTTTGAACTGATATTAAAGCATGATTAGTTTCAATCCAGCAGGGGAGAGAAAATGCTGAGTTATATGATAAAGACAAATCACCTACAAAATAGGGGAAAAAATACTTGCAACAGTTCAGTTCTCACCTGACAGTACTAGGAAGGCGACTGCTGCCGGGTAGTAACAAAGCCATTATTTATCAAGGGAGTTATCCAGTTTGAGCAAAATCATGTTCCCCCTAAAAATTTAGTGTTAGGGGAAATGGTAGTAAATGAACTCTTAAGCTTTCAAAATGATAATCTAGCATTACTTAAAAGTCTACAAATTTGTTCCTAAATGTATTTAAATCTTACCAGCGAACATGATGCTTGGTTATTAAAAAGTAATTCTGGAGAATTAGCTTGCAGCTACAAAATTAATATAATTCATTTATTACTTGCAGCCACAAATCAAGATGCTGTTAACACTGCTACACACAATTTAATATGCGCAGTGAGTTTCCATATGGCTTCAATTTTAGGTTTCTGGTCATTCCACTGAATCACTCACAGAATGGTCCAGCATGTCCTGTCAGAGGGCACTTGATCTAAACAAAGTGTGAAGCGATGGCTTTCAAACTATGGAATTAAAGGTTTGGTTTATTTCTATTTTCCTCATATTGAACAGATATATTTTTAAAATCTATATTCTTACTGTTACACAGAGATTTAGTGATGGAGAAAAACCAAAAGCATTCAATCTCCAACACTAGCCAAGACTCTTATTTTTCCTAGTTCTGAATTGCCCTCTTCTCTTCACGGATTTTCCTTTGAAGATGAAGGAGAAGAAACACACACACACACCTATTTGATTTATTAAGAAGGTTGACATAAAAGAATCATCCAGAGGTTAAACACTCTTTTCAATTATCCTGCCAGAATGATGTGTAGTTCTTGTTTCATGGATAAATTTCACACCTTCATTAAGGAGTTCAAGTTCTTTATGAATGAGATACAAACTTGCATAAGTCTAGATGAGAAATGAACGCAATAATTGCACTCCATGTCTCAGGCCTAGAAGAGAACAATAAGCCTAAAGAACAGAGAATATGTCTTTCACGTGTGTTTTTTCACCTGTCATTCATCTTGTGTCTCATGAACCATCGCAATGGAGTGCGTTTTGTAGTGGACAACTACTTTTCTTCCTTGGCCATTTCCACCATGAAGGCTGGTTGAATAGACCAGACAACTCAAACCACTTTTCTTCCAGAATTTGTCCTGGAAAGGACCTCTTCATCAATCATGATGAAGTCTGTGGTTAAGTCACTACGTTGCCTTCTGTAAGTGTTGCCAGATTCTTTTTCACTGCCGCTTTCAAAGTGAAACTGACAAGGGAAATCTATGATTCAGAAGAAAAATTAGTGACAGAGTCTTAGCTTTTCAGCTTTATATTTGGCACCTGCACCTTCTTGCTCTGTTGTAGACAGGAGGGGTGGTAGGTTGAGGAGGAAGGAAGACGGGAGCTGAGAATACAGACAGGCAATAAGCCTTGCCTATGATTTGTATCAGTGATATTCTCACTTAGAAAAGAGAGCAACAACCTGAGGGAGATAACCCCCAAGTATTCTCAAACTGACATAAAGGTGCACCTCTCTGTGGAAGTCTTCTGTGTTTTGATCCTAAGCTGGAAAAAGTGGAGTAATTAGAAAAGAAACATTCTACAAAGATTGGTGAAGAAAATTATAAACATAATTTGATAACTGGTAACGACTAGAACAAAAGAAACCAAAGCATACCCAAGAGTTTATTTCAAAACTTGTTACGGTAATGATACCTTCCGTCTAAATGATACCTTTAAGGGTTATTTTACGTGGATTAGCTCAATAATCCTTTTGACATATTGCAGCAAATAAATGTAATTACTAGTCTAGGACATGGAAGAGCAGAGAAATTAGGTAACTCACCCAAACCCACACTGTTAGCAAGTGGCAGAATTTAAATGACACCCAGGCCTTTCAAAAACCAGCTTCCAAAAGTCCTGGTAATGTCTAAGTTTAATGATTTTCATAAAGTAATGGCAAAATCTTCCTTTAAGGATGAGACTAGTATGACTCGAGTATTTCCTAGAAACATTGTACCATAATATTTGTGTTTCGTGAGTTTTAAAGAAGGACTATATTTCTGCAAAAGTTTTGCTACAAACCTAAACATGTTTGTAAACCTATCAATTTGAATATAGACTCTAGACCATGGAAAATGGTACATCCTGGTAGGAGACTGAGGAGCCACTGACATGTTTGCACGACATTATTAGAGCTGGGAAAAGACATTGGTTAAGAAAACCTTAGAAGAAAAGAAAACATGAGAAAGACAATGTGAGTTATGGATTCCCTTTATCCTCCCCAATCTGAACACGCATTGCCCATCCCTCTTCTGACTTTCTGGGATATTTACTCCATCGTGTGCTCATATTGTATTTATTCACTTTATGAACTTCAAAAATTCCATATATGTCTATGTAAAGCCATACACTCTCTCAAACTGTAAATCCTGGTCATATTGGTGACTCATATGGTACTCAATATAGCACTCAACAGTGTCCTGCACTCAGCAGGTGCTCAATAAATGTTTAACTGAATCACATTGTATTGAGAAATGTGTTTACCAAGTGCTATTCCTGTTGTAAAGGGTGAGAATGAGTCTAATTTGTGTGAAGTATCAGTTTGAAATACTAATTTCTGGTCTGGTTTCTGAATAGCAAGTATCCAGGCCACCACATGGAATGTGACATATAGTACAAAAAGGCATCCCACTGCCTGAGTAAAAAGTAACGGTATATTGTGTGCATTATTTTCTCCAGTGGACCCCAGAAGGAAGTAGAATCTCTTTTAATGTCTTTTACTACATTTAGAAAAAGCAGGCATTGCCCCTTTAAGAAACAACTTATGTCAAAAGGTTGGTCAGAGGGCAGGCTGTAAAACTACACGATGAGTACAACGTGCTGGTGAGTACACTTTCCTAGCTGCTTCTTAATGGATGGAAAAACTCAGCATCAAAGGGCAGAAAGCTAGGCAGGAAAATAATGAGGTGGAGGAAAATTACTCCCTTCTGATTGGAAAAGGATCATTAGGAGGGAGTCACACTGAGGAGTCCTAGTGGGCTCTGATCTCTCCCTTCCAGCTTTTCCTGAGCAATGTGGGGCAGAAAACCATGTGGATCTGAGAACTGAACAAAACGCCAAGGCCCATTCCTCCTATAACAGAGAGATTGGGGCTGCGTGGATGGATATAACGGACAAGAGCCAGTGAGAGAAAGAGAAGACCAGAGGGGGAAGTCCCCATCATCTGCAAGGCTTGCTGCCCTGATTGTCCTAGAACCCAGACATTCAGGACAACCTCTTAGGATTTAAGACTGCGGACTCCAAACTCCTTCTGTCCCAGCTTACGTAGGGCACAGAATGAGGGTTCAATTAAGAGGGGACCAATGGCAGTTACTTGACAACAGCTGAAGAGTAGTGAGGCGGGATCTGATTGTTTACATGATTATATTCTTAATAATGTGTGCTAATTATAGTGTTCTGTTAAGTGTTATATAACAATAATAATAGTGCTTAGAATTTTAAACAGCGGTGTAATAAAAACTCACCGTTCTCTTTAGTGTTGCTGTTCCTCTCTTCCCAAAGAGAATAAGTTTCTGTCATTCAAGAATGATTTCTTTTTACTAATATGCAGATTCTGGCTATGGGATCATAAACCTATGGACTGCCTGACCCCTCCACCCCCAACCAAAAGTGGCTCTGCTTTGTGAGATTTCTGTGGTGGCTCCATTCCTCAGAGTGGCAGCAGGGTGTACTACTTATTGGTCTTAGCTATGGTGACTGAGCACCTACCATTGGGAACAATGACATGTGCTTCTCCTTGCTCACTCCCCATAGTCTGTGTCCTGCTTTCTTGGGCACATTCTTCAGAAGTTGGGGTAGCATTTGTTGTCCCACACACTTGGGGATCTTGGGAATCTTGAATATTACCACCAAAGTCCCTTCAATTCTTCTTCCCAGAGTCCAAAGACTTTTAGCAGACAGACGTCCTGGTGCACTTTCTCAGCACAGCAGAATTCCTAAACTGGATGTCCAGATTTAAATTTTTTTGCTTGTTTCAACATTTGACAAGTTTTTCATTATTAGTTCTTATGAGTATTGTACATTCATTAGGGAACATCTAACTTATAAATCTAGCTAACTATTAAATAAAATATGTCCCGTCTTCCTCTCTTGACAAACATGCCTACGCAATGAACGGGAAGACCTAGCTCAAATTGAGAATAATCTGACTCCTTGGAGTTTCTCTTTGGCCCCTGGAAGTGTGGGGAAAGCCGGCCCCCAGGCACTAGCCTGTCTCCCCTTTCTTCCCACCCATCACTCTGCTTGGCCATCACCTGAGCCTCAGTAAGCATGGTCCACACTGTGAGGACTGACCCAGCAGGTCGGCAGTGCAAGAAGCAGCCTCAAAGCCATTCAAGAAGGGAATTCTGGGCCCCAGTCACCTGGAGTTGGGTCCAGAGTGTGTGCAAAGACTCAAGTTGGGCCTCTGCCTTTGGCCCTCTGCCCCTCTCCCTTTCTCTCTCTCACATGGCCACTCCTTATAGATGAAACTTTTGAGACTTGGCTAAGGGGTGTCAACTTGGGGACGCATTTAGTCTGAGGTTACTGGGTTATATTCATGTGGTTCTTAGTCATTTCATACTATTGCTGCCTCTTGAGGTGCAGCAATGGCTTCCTGGAATAGTCCAACTACGTAATTGCTGACTTAACCCTAAACTGAGAGAGAAGGGGCAGCACCATAAGTCATGTTACCATAGAGTGTGGCCTATATTACCCAGAATTGTTGCTAATGGGGGAAAAATAAGAAGTCAGAAGATGGTCAGTGGAATTCCTCCCAATTGTCAGATGTGTATAATCGTAAGTGGGACTTTTGGTCTCATCCAGGTCTGGCCAAACAGAAGTTCTCTCCTGTCAGGAATTTACCTGATAGGGCAGCATATCCAAGTGTAAATGCACCATACATTTTCCTCCCTTTTTGATGCAATGATGCTTTTGATAAAGCTAAAATAATCCATTTTAACTGCCATTTGCAAAGACATTTTGGAATGTTCAATAAAGCAAGTATGAAATTACAAAATCTTGACTTGCACCTATGTGAAGTATATCTTCTTTGCTAATCATTAAATTCACTTGTAAACACACACACACAGAGAAAATTTGGATCAAAATTATGGGCCATTAAACAAAAGTGATATTGTGATCAACTATGGTAGAAGAAAGACTGGCTTAGCTTTCTACTCTATTAAAAATTGTATGACCAAATTGTTGTTATATGAAAAAATGATCAATGATCATGGAGCCAAAAAATGTAGGGGAGAAAAAGGTATTTTTAAATTCTTAACGAGTTAACTACTAAAAATATAATATCTGCATGTGTGTGCGCATGTGCGTGTATTTTTGGATTTCTTAATGTTTGTAGTATTTTCCAGTTTTTTAAAAATCTGTAATGTGTTGTGATTTCTTTTCTCATCTTAAGTAAATATTCATTTTGAACTTAATTTTGTATTTTTCACTTTGCATTTTTTTTTTTGGTAAAGATCTTCTGCCCCATGCCCCATGCCAATCACATGGAGCTCCAGGCTCCACTGGGTCCTAGGTCTGCCTCTGGGTCCAGGGCTGGAACAGATGAGAAAAGGCAGACAGTCCAAGTCTTACAGGTGGGATTCAGGGCCAGAAAGGTAGAGCGACAACCCAGGAGTTTAAAGAGACAGAGAAGCTATTCTTTAAGTCAGATTAGACGGTATGAACACTGATTAAAAGTCAATATATTCAGTCTGAGAAGGGAAAAGTTAATATAAGCTAAGAAAATATTTGACTTACAGATAGTTTAATAGAAACAGTGCTTTATTTTCTCTCAAGCCTATAAACAAGCTGAATTAGTTCAATAAAATATTTAGGTATACATATTCTTCAATTAATAAATAAGATACAATTCATTTGTTATTCAGGCTGTTAATTATATTTATGTATGCATATATAGTTAATACATAGTCCTAGAATTCTAAACAAAAACTGTGTTATTGTTGTAAAGTAAGGGGTTATATAAGCATGGACTCTGGATTCACACCACGTGGGTGCAGATCTTGGCTCCCTTGCTTTCCATCTGTGTTACCTTGGGCAGGTGACTTCCTCTCTCTGGCCCTCAGTTTTCTCATTTGTATATTTCACCTAATGGTAGCACCTGCCTCATAGCGCTGACACGGGGATTAAATGAGATAATCGTGTAAAATGCTGAAAACAGTGGCTGACCCAGAATAGGTGCTGAATTCATGCTACCTCTAATTTGCTAATCAAACATCTTCCTTATAGACCATAATAAAAGTAACTTCAACCAAGCCCAGCTGAGTTATTACAAAACCTGACTCAGAGGGTAGCCACATCAGTTCGGCTGAACAAATTGTTTCATCTCTAGCCCAGTCACACTGTGGCAGAGACTCTGACAGGTCATGCAGTGTTAGGCTGATGGGACAACATGGCAAGAAGGAGATTAAATTAGTCAGGAGTCTAGCAAGTGATTGATATCATCTGTAACCCTCTAGGACGTCTCTGCCTTGCCACGCTGGCCAATTTAAAGCACAGCATTTCTTCTCTCGGTCAGATATTTGAATTCTAGGTTTACACTGAGCAACTTCCATCCACCTGACAAAATATGGAAAAGAAGGACAAAAACAGAATAAATCTCTAAGTGGTTAATTGTCATGGTAATAAAACAGAAATAGATTTGTCATGTGATCATAGTACAAGATTCCGAGTACTGTAACTGATATTCACAAATACATATTTAGGAATTTTCTGTTCTAATGCAATTCTATTGCAAATTAGCAAGTTGTAGTAAGAAAATATTTGCATTTCTCCTCTTTATCTTTACAACACATTCCTTCACTTGAAAAATTAGCTTTGGGCCGACGATAATGATGTTTTAGAAAAAGATGCAATAAATGCTAGCATTAAGCAAAAGGCTCAGTATTTTTCAGCCATAGACTCAATGACTGTCTGGAGAATAACGTGTGATGTTCATTGCACAAAAGAATTCTTAAGAAGGCTATTAGCACCATAAGCTTTCGTGGATTTTTTAATAACAATTTCCTACTAAAATACAAAAGAAATTAATAGAAGTTACTTAAACCATATTCAAAAATAAAGAAGAGACAAGAATTGGATAACTCTTCTTAATGCGCCTCATACCCCATAATAAGCTTAGACAAAAAGTAGGATTTTCCTCAACGTTGAGTTAGGAAATGTGGAATGGATGGGCAGGGCCACCGTTACACATCCTAAGTACAGAGCCCTAGTATTTTATGCGATTAATCCTATTTCATTATACATGTGTTTGCAGGCCACTGGGTGCAAGTGCGGACAGTGCTGCAGCTAAATTCTGTTCTGTTAAGTACAGGTATAGTTATAATTGAGCTAGAAATAAGTCCTGTAAAATAGAATAGAGGAAGACTTCTAGTTCAAGACAGCTGAGGTCATGCGCGGCCACCACTCTCTCCCAAAATTCTATTAAAATGCAGGGAGAGATTAAAAAATTAAATACACAGCAGCACTGGAAAGTACAGCACCAGCAGACCAGCACAGAGAAAAATTTCTCAAATATATAACAGAGAGAGGGAAAATACAACTGAAAAACCTACAGCCACTTCAGATAAAAGAGAGAACTTCCTGTGTCCAGGTGAGTTTCCCCACAGAAACTCTAATAACTCCAGACTCAGAAGCAGCAGAGTCCAGGAGAAGGAAGATGAGAGAGACTGGCTAGTTAACAAATTAAGTGGCAATCAAAAAAATTAGGGCCCTTCCATAACGTGCTTCTGGATATGGCGTTTGGCCGTGGATTAAATTCTGGAGTGCTCTCTGCTTTCAGAATTCTGACAGGAGAGACGAAGCAATTGGTATGGGGCAGTCGAAGCAAGCAGCGTTCTAACAAATGTATGGTCACTAGGAAACTGGTCTCCAGACCCAGAAGGAAAATCACGTGGAACGTGAAAGCAAGCCTGTCCTGCCCGCCACGTGTCCTCTTCCTCCATCCAGCCAGCAGAAGCAGAGCTTTCCAAATCAGAACACGAATTCTTGGGCAGATAGGAATTTTCAATCGAGCTGAAGAAATAACTCTTCCTAACAATCTTGTTTGAATTAGATCCTCATCTATAATATGAACAGATCACAAAGAATTGCCAAAAATCCACAAAAACTCCAGCATGAAAAAGACATAGTACTTAGCCAACAGAAGAACTCTATCCAAAGATCACGGAATTAATACTGAGAACAAAAGAAAATTTTAAATTAAGTACATTATTTTCCAAGAGATTTGTAAAGCTATCATGTTCATAAATTTAAAAAGAAATAGCAAGCTACTATAAAAAAAATGTTGTGAGAGCTTTTATTAATAAAGGCAGTTTGCTAAAAACAAAAAAAAACAATAGATGATTTGAAGTGGAAAATGTACAGCACTGAACATCAAAACAGAATCCTACAACAACATTCAAGCAGTGTTAGTCACCTTCTCTTCTATTAGAAAAAAATAGCATGGAAGAGCATGGAACATATTCAGGGCGAGGAGTCATTTAGTCTGGCTGCATGGCAGTTATGAGTAGCAAGTGTAGTGGGAGGTCCTACAGGAAGTGTGGAGCGGGGGATCGCCAGGAAGAAGCTAAGGTTGTCCCAGGGCTGGGGAAGGGTTAGTAATTGGGAAATGCAGCAACAGAGGGAGCAGGTCCAAGGCAGCTGACTGGTTAAGGCTCAGTTGCCTTTATCTTCCTCTCACTCTGATGAGAGCTAATCCTGGGAGAGCATACAAATACAACAGAGAACATCTGGCTGGATATTCCGAGGGTAGGAGCGAGAGCAAACTGTTTTCTAGCAGCTGCAGTTCTCTGCAGGTAAGGAGCTGAGGATCCAGGGAGGCTGCCTGACCCACATTGGAAGGAATGCCCCCATCTTCGGCTCAGTAACCCGTTAGGGTAAGAAGCTAACTTGCCATAGGCAAGGGCATTCGTCTGTCTTCCAAAGGAATCCCGCTCCACAGTGGTCCTGCTTCCAGAAACAAACACACTACCCAAGCCGGACTTTAAATAAAACTACTTTTGTTAAAGTTTAATTGGCACAGTGTTTCAGTGAGGGAAATGTATCCAAGGACGCCTTCTAGAGCTGTGTAGACAATCAAGGTGGCATTTACACTTGTGTCATTGGTGAACACAGTAACAGTACTGTGCTGATAAATGTTAAACAGCTAGCTCTGCTGGGAAAAAGTCTTGATTGTAGCATTTGCCAATTTTTGTATTGTAAATCCCTCACTATGGCCAATTTCAAGCTATCGGTATGATGCCACTGCATGTGATGTTGGGAGGAGATGCCCCCAACCAGGTGCAGTATACCACCACCTGCAGATCACCCCCATGCTGACACTGGGCCTTCCAACACAAGCCCCACAACTTGCTCTGATTTTTCTGACCCTATGTGAACCTTCAAAAACATCACAGCACTTAAAAATTATTTATCTTTCACTCTTTTGAAAATCATACAGCTCCTTGTCAGCATACTTTGAAATTTACTTGCATAATGCCCGTTACCACTGGAATGGAACTCAATCAGTTACACAGGTATGTAGGCAGGAATATAGATGTCTGACAGAGTGATCCATAGAAAACCAATTCAGAAGCCTAATAAAATGACACAAAACAGGGAGGGAAAGTCTCCCTCTGCTTCTAAAAAGCCAGAGACAAATCTGGACTCTCTTCCACTGTTTTCCCAGAGCTAGAAAGAAAGTAACTAGTTCATAAATTCCATCAGGAGCTTGGGGATTTTTGATGTAATGAGTTTTACAGTTTCAGAGGAGAATGCTTTGCTAATAATTATGTAACAGTAATTAAATCTGAAAAAGGCTGTACTCTAACTATGTTGATTTATTGCAGCTCCTACAAAGTACTCCTCGAGCGTGCATTGGAGTGTGCGCTGCCTCCCTCCAGTTTTCTTTAAATTCTCACAGAGCACTGGGTCACAGATGGTCTGAGCTGCTATATTTTCCCTATTAAATTCCTAATAATCTTTTTCTGAGGCTGAGTCATGGAAGCCTGGGGATTTCTCATTTTAATTAGAAGGTTTAAGGAGCTAACTCTGTTTGAAATTTTCTCCTAGGAGGGGTGGGTGCAGGTGATCCCATTCAGAAGAATGACACAGTACCGTGGCCAGGACACATTTCCATATTAGATTGCAGCTTGCTTGGCTCCGCTCCTACTGCTGAGGTCGATGATGCATTGTCTGAATCTGTAGAATAAACTTTGAAAAATAGGGTTATTGGGAGATTGTTTTTGGGGGGAATATATTTTGGCATTTGGTTCCCATCTCCATTTTGCATATAGAGCAGTAGTAGATTCAGGGACACGAATTATTTGTAATTCCAAATGAAGGTTGTAGATCATATCAATCTGAGCCAAAGTCACCAAGGAACAGATTTGGGGACCATTTGTCCATCTTTATCCCTACAATTTTCTCCTTTTGGCCCCCTCAGACTTAATTTTTAAATCTTCCGAGTTCTGAGACAACCTCATATTAAATATGATCTTTTGTGTTCAGTTTGACTAGCAAAAGAGTAGGGAAAATGTGTATGAACAGACGGGACAAGCTATTTAGAATAATACCTAGAATTTGTCAAGTAACCAGAGAGTGACAGTCAGGGTGAGCCATGTAGCTGCAATAAGCTTATCTTTTGGAGTTTCCCAGCGAGTTTGATTGCCTGTAGAAAAGCCTGTTATGTAAGACAGAGTGTGTGGAGTTAGGCACGGTTCCCTTGACAGTATAATGTACAAAAAGAGAAAATGCTTCTTACAAGACAGCTGTTCGAGTTTCGTCTGCCCCAATCGCAAGGCTGGTTTCTCTGCTTTGTCAAATAATGAGCACCTCATGCTTTGAATGTGGCAGGGTCCAGAGAAGCAGTCAAACTGAACTGCCACTGCCTTTGTACCCCCTGCTGTCTTCACTCGCGAACGTGTTTCAGAGCTGGCTGCAACCGCGTTTTATAAAACTAAAAGGTATGAGCAGAACAAACGCAGCACTTAAAAAACAGATTTTGGAAATGTAGAATGCTGGCTTTTCATTCATTGAGACCACAAAAAAGATTGTTTCCCCCTTTTGCATCAAAATGGTGCTGTGCTTTCTGTCTGTATTCCTTAATTCTCTAGCCCCTTCAGGTGCAGCTAATTGAGTCATTTCAAAGCTTGAGAAGTATCCTCACTCAGTTATTACTAATCCTCAATGATTATTTTTGTGGCTTCATATTTTTCATAGCAATTAATTAGGTTTCTCAGAACAGGTCCTAGTCTTTGCAGTCATAATTTTAAATGTAAATATATTTATTTTTTATATTCTATACCTACGGAAAATAAAACATAAAAATATAAGTATAAAATATAATTATATATATATATATATTTCCCACTGTTAGGATATGTGCCATTTGCCATGTGTTATCATCAAAATTAAATTGGGAAAGGAAATAATTGCTTTCACGCTAAATTCTGGGTTATATCAGAAGGTTATAAAAGTAAAGATGTGTGCAGTTTGAGAATGCTATACCAAAAAAAAAAAAAAATTTGGAAGGCATTTAAGGATTTATAATCTGTAAGAATAAATTTTCTCTCCGACTGATGTTTCTAGACTGTGCTGGTTATAGCCATATGTTTAGTGATTCCATTCGTGAAATGTGTGGACAAGGTGGCTGAGGGCTGCCAGACAGCCACTGTGTGAGCAGGTTGGCCCGCGTGACGGGTGTGGATAATACTGTAATAATAAGGAAAGCTGCACCCAGCCCCACCTTGTGTGGAGAATCCACCACAGTCACTTCTAAAGGCCCCGTTTAAGAAAGGGAAGCAATCTTTTCATACCTCATTCACAAAATGGCCGGATAGGAAAGTAAACTCTGTATGAAACGGTCAGATAAAAATGCCCGTGGAGATATGGAGCTGGGAAGAATCTCAAGTTGTATATGTTTCTTCAAGTTCTTAGATTAAAGACCAAAAGCTTTCTCTGAAAATGCCAGATCTCCTTGTACCAGACCTAATCAAGTGAAGGGAGCCCACCATCAGAGCTCTCAGTCAGGGGAAGCGTTAAGGGCATTCTGCCTGCAACCAGGTTCTTGAAGGAGTTAAATAAGAAAATGTTTCAGACTTCTGATTAATGGCTGGGGACATTCCAAGCTGCTTTGCCTACCTCAGCAGTACACGACTGGTATGGTAGGGTAATACCTAATAACTAATCTTTGACACAAGAATTAAGTCATTTTGCAAGAAAGCAGATCATTAGAAGCCAAATTGAATTATAAGTAATACTATCTCTGTAGAGGATTGTAAATTAATTGGTTTTTAACAATAACATTTCTGTATTTTATTAAAGCAGCGTAAGAATTTGGTGAAGAAACGAATGTAGCAGATAAACAGGCCAGGTGCTGGTGATGCAAATGAAATAGATGACAGATGGTGAGTAGCACGCTCATTCACTGTGTGTGTATAATGGATAGAGGTAATCCAATTCCTTTGTGAATTGGCGACTTTCTTTACATCAAGAACTTTAACACGGGCTTGCTTACACATCTCTCTACCCCCTGCTCTCAGCACGCGCATGTGCACATGCACACACAGGCACACACACACCCCCTATCATTACATACACATACATCCTAATTATAGCCTACGTTACTATCAGAAAGGTGGGTTATAACTCTATTTACATAACACCGCACACAAATATCATTCCACCAAATCAACCTGTATACACTAAACAACAGATTTCTCTGATGAGAACACCACACTAAGGAAACAAAGCAACCTGTTTCGATTAAAGAAGTTCCATTCAGTAAGAGAAGTGATACTTAGACCAAGAGGCTGGGCTTCACAGGGAAAGAATTGCTTCTGGCTCATTAGGTTGAGGTTTCCAGCAGTACCCTTAAAAAGTGATGAGCATTCTGGTGGGTTTCCTTTTCACCTTGATATTATGGTTAAGGACTCTCAACACTCGAAGTCAAGCTGATCCAAGCCAAGTAATGGATTTATAGACTGCATGCGAACTGGTTTGTCTCCTCCCCATTCTGGTATCAAGGAGATTGCTTTATTTCACTGCTTCTTCTGCTAAAGGGAAAATCGTACTCAGCTAACTCAAGGACATAAATTCACCTCGCATGTGGAATAGAGGAAATAATTCCTCTCAGGATCATCCTATATGAACATACAACTCTGAGAATTACCTTGCATATGCTCGAATCCATATTTCCAGTCCTATGTTGTTATCTTAGCTTTGCTTCCATCTTTCTCACTGCTCACTGGACATTTCTGTTGGGATGTTTAGATGTCACTTTATGCCCAATATTCCATGTATAGCCTTTTGTTCTAAAACCAGCTTCACATGGAAAGTCTCCTTTCTCTGAGCTTCCTTTCACTCAGACTTGAAATTCTGGAGTTTTCCTCAACTCCTCTCTTCTTTATACTTCATGTACAGTCAAAATACAAAAATCTGTTGATCTTTCTTCTAAAATGTCCCAACATTTATCATTTTCCCTCCTGTCCCATTTCTGGGTTCTAAGCTAGGCATCATGGCTGGACCACTTCATTGGCCTCCAGTGTGGTTTCCTCAGACCCTGCCTCTTATATCTCCCACTTTCCCTGTTCCCCTCTCGACTAGCCTTCCCTTCACGTTGCTTTCAGGCCTCTCTCTTTCTTACTTCATCCAATCCTTTGCTGGCCCCCAAGCTTTTCCAGCCAGACCCGACTCCCATGGATCTCACACGGCACCATTTGCTCCACTGGGGCCAGTCTCCTGTGGTCTGCACAGCGCCATGTTTGTTCTGGATTAATCTCCCAGAATCCACGTAGCTGCCATGGTCCTTCAACCTCAGGGTTTTCACACGTGCCGTCCCTTTGCCTGGGATTCCCCCAATCCCTCCCCCTTCCTCTAACCTTATCAAGGCCTGCTCCAGCTCCCTTCTCCGTGACGATGTCCTGACTGAACCTCACGCTGTTGGGAGCCCACTATTTAGTCCATCATCCTTTGCTATTTTGAGTTGTTCTCTGGTTGCTTCACATGTGATCATCGAGTCTGCCCAGTTACATGGGGAGTCCTCTGACATGAAGGATTGCATGTTGCTCATGTCTGTGCCCATCCCCACTGGCACACACGGCATGGTGCCTTGAAGCCACTGTCCCTGCTTTCTTACTGGACAGCAGGGACCAGGCAAACAGGCCCCTAGCGCTCTCTCTCTTCATGAGCACTGTACCACCCCAGTTCAGATCATTGCCTCTTCTTCTTGTGCCCTTGAGATTTGCTTCTCACTACCATCTTCTCTGACAAATCCTGCCCTCTTTGACCATGCTTCGGACTGGGTGCCCTACCCTAGGTCAGCCCCTTTCTGGGCCACCTTGGCCCTGGGACCCTTACTTTGGAACTCCCATTCTTTCCTCTTTGAGGAATCCGCTCAGGTAATCTGCTTTTATGAGTGCTGAGCAGTGGTAAGTGCCTGAACAGTGTGTGTTCATTGAAGCATTGTTTCTGGGAAAAATACATTTCTTTCTCTGTGCTTTTCAGGCTATGGCACAAATCTACGAGATTATACCAAAGTCACTTTATTTGCCCTTCCTTTGTTTATATATATGTGCCTACCAGAACACCTCCATACACCAGGCCTTAAATTTGATTCCAAGAAGTTAAAATGACATTTGCATTGCAGGATTCTGTGCTTAAGGGAGCAGAAAGCGTTAGAGTTTGGCCTGGTGGTACTAATTTTGTGTTGACTCCTCCTAAGGGAATAGTATGCTTTTGGACTGTTTCTGATTTCCTATTAGATGGCATTAAAGGAAGTATATTATATCCTGAACCTAAAAGGATCAGCTCTTTAATAAACTAAATTGACCTTTCTGTTTTTTTCCCTAGGGGATTGGGGTCCTCCTCTATGCCCTGAAGCCCCCTTTCTTCCCTGGCAACAAATTGATTTTGTGACTGTTTTGTTTGGTCTTTTACATGACAACCACATATATGGTGAAGCGTAATGACCAAAAGTCATACTCCTGGGCAACTGGGTATAGCCAGATGAGATGATAAATATAATTTGTTGAATTACAGAGGTAGCTCCTGTTCTGCTGGGTGCATGTTCAGCTGCAACATCTTGGCAAAGAGATGATGTCACCAGAGTCATAAGGCAAGTGGCAGACCACCTGTTAAGCATTCAGTCATAAGTCAAAACCAAGAGCCCTTAGTTTATAAATGTTCCCCTTTGAGTTTCATCATTCCAATTC